GTTAGTGTTTTAGTAAGTCAGTCCCTAGTTCTGTTTTGTTAGATATCTTGTCTTAAATGTACAGGGAGTTTGAGTGATAAATGAGGTCTTCTTTTCTTTGGAAGGGAGAGGAGGATTGTGCTTAAGGCATTTTTTTTGTTTAGGTTGAAGCCACAAACCAAACAGGTTCCTAATTCAGTCCTGGTGCAGGATTACTGAAAAGTGCAGGAATGTTATCAGGCAATTTGGAGATTGTAATGATTGTTTCATTGATTTGTAATAGTCACAGCTTTTGTCACCAGGATCGTACCCTGACTGTAACTTTGGCCTGAGAAGGAGGTGTGGGATTGAAAACCAAACAAACCCTGCAGCTGTTGGTTTAAAGAAACATGTGTGGGTGGGTAAGATAGAAGTCTTTTTTTCTCCAGAACACCATGATGGGATAGCTCTGCAGCTTTCTGCAACAGACTCAAGATGTCTACTGATTAAGGAAAACAGTGCATTAATTGCTTATGCCTTAACAAAACTCCACAGTTGACATCTCTAGACCTTCAGGAAAAGATAACTGAGCTGTCTCCCTTGGAGACATTCTCTTCCACTTCTGCCAGCAGATAGCTTTGTTCGTAAACTTAGCGTTTTGCAGGCCAGCATGTGGTAATCTGGGAGCAGTAGTTTGAATGCTAATAATACTCATCAGAAGTTGTTATTTATTAAGCCAGCTGACATTTATGAAGAATAGCCTGAGCTTGCCAAGTGTTTCTAGCTCATTGCTGAGGATCATGTCACTGGTTAGAGCATTTAATTAGCAACCCCATGTCTGGGCCCCTGGGTGTTAATGAGCCTCAGCTTCCCCTGGGTCCTGCTCCCACTCTTAGGTGGGGGCCCAGAAGCCTGTGTCAGACCAGCCTAGTGCTGTCAGTCTGTGTGGGAGCTGCGTTACCAGTGTGCCTGTTCCAGTCCCAGCTGCTGTGGTGTTGACCTGGAGCCTACCTTTGTACCATGACTACCAGGCTGCCCATGGGACCTGCTTCTCTTACCACCCATGCAGGCAGCAGGTCACTGAGCAGTGCTGGTCCCAGGATGAAGCTGCTTTCTCAAATCACCTCTTGTCTGGTTCCTCTCTGTGGTGGCCAAGCTGCAGCCACCTAGAGCAGCTTTATGGCCAAACTGGAGCCAAGGAACAATTTCAGTAGCTGTAGATATACTTATTGAAGATGCTGCTGCAAAGCTTTGGCTGCCTTGAGTTGGCAGAGAGAAAGGGTTGATGAAGCAAGACCTGAGCACTGACTGTGGTGTAACTCCTGGTGCAGCTGTGGGAGAGGGACTTCCTGCTTTGCTTTATAGTCCCTGTGACACAGAGATGTGACTCAAGAAGCATATTGTAAAGTGAGCTTGTTAAGTGCTTTTACAATGCCTTTAAAGTAAACAATTTATGTCCTTTTATCCTCATGGGTAACCCTAAAGAGCTCCCATTGATATCCATGAATGTGGGGTCTGGCTCCTGGCTGATGTTCCATATTACTAACTTCAAATAAAGATTTATGTTTAGCTAAAATAAATCTTAGAAGCCAAAACTAATTTTAGAGAGTAACTTTACTAAAAATAAATTTGCATATCTTTGCTTGGTAATAAATGGCTTGTTTAAGAAATGTAATTTGATTCACCTACGACTCAGGTGTTATTGTATTAGGTAACAGGCTAAGAGGAATCTTTCATTCATAGTGCAGGTCTCTTAATGCTTCTGTATTTATTCTGCTTAGTTTTGTGAGAATTGATAGGATTATAAAAATGTAATATTTGCTTTAAACATTTTAATGATGTGTAATGCAGGTGCATTGAGTAAAATATTTTTTTGTAGTGTAAAAATAAGGTTTTTTCTTTTGTTCTCACTGAAATAGCTTGTAAATTAAGTTGCTCTATATGACTCTTTTGAATTTGCTTTAAATTACGTATGTATAGATATGAAGGATGACCTTCTAGATTGAACAAATTAGATAGATAATACAAAAAACAAAACTGGAATTTTTGTCTCCTGTAGGTTTGCGAGAAACAGAGAATAATAAGTCTGAGAAGAAATGTTAAAAGAAACCTGGTTTGTATCTTGAGCTGTTAGCTTCCTGTAGTGTTTAGCATTGTAATAAATTTAGAGGCTGGTTTCATTTGTTGGATTTTTTTTAACCTGCCAGAAGTATATTCCTAAAGAAAATACTTTTCCTTTTCTTGTTTTGCTGTTATTTCTGAAGGTAGCCTTGATGACGCCTATGAAATACTACTTTTTTTTTCATTTTATTTTATGTTGTTCTGCATTGATAGCAAAAGACAAAGAACCCATTGAATGCATTATTTCTATTCATAGTGACATAATTGTCATACAAACCTTCCTGAAGTAAGTAAATATTTCTTTGATTTGGGTAATTGCTGTTATATAATACGTGGAAGTATCATGCAGTAGTATATCTGAAGAAAAAGCTACTTGAAAAGGATGTTTTAAGATACAGCGGATATATCTGTATTCTTTTTTTTATTTAATCTGTGCTGGGTAGCCTAAATATACCTAATTCCTGTTGTGTACAAAGACAGGGTATGTGACATGGGAATGTTATCAAACCAGTTGTGTTCTCTTAACAGTGTCCAGCCTATTTGATTCTACTGTTGACTGTAAATAAAAAGAAACTTGAAATCAATGGCTCTGCTTGGTATAGAGACTCTTTCTCCCTGAATTATACTAAAACATTTCTTCCTTGCAAAAGAGAAGGAAGCTAAAACTGAAGAATGTAATATTTTCACCTTTTCTTTGAGGGGTAGGGCTGATGCAACCAAATTTACAGCTAGTCGAGTAGAAAGAAAGAAACAGATTTTATGTATTTTTGCCAACTGTTGTAGAAATCTATCTGAGCTATTGCAAAATTTGTAAGAGTTCCTGAGAGAAAGAATGAGAGCATACATGTGTTTTTCTCATTCTGATTTGTTTGAAAGGATTTGGCTATCTGCAGCATACAGGAAGTGCGTACTGCCTGTTGATGGTGGGATAGGGGAGGGCACATAGAGTTTCTTCTTGTTAGTTTGGCCACTAATATGGTGGTAAAAGAGGATTTGTTTTTTAATATAATACATGCTCTTTTTTAAATTTTTCCTTAGTGTCTTGTGTGCAGGTGAAGAACATTGCTGTGCCTTTGGCAGGTGGATGTCTCTGTGAGAGAAGGCTTTTCTACAGCTTCAGCTGTGGGCTATTCCTGTCTTACCCAGCCTGTACTTCTCTTTCTTAGGGACCCCAGACTCCAAGCAAGGAAATTTTCCTTAAAAGCACCACTTACTGGATTGCTCAGACAATTAGATTTGTTTACACATACTTAAAGTTGATCCTTCATTTTTTGGTACTTCAGTTTTAAGAAAACAATTTGGCCTTTTTTGTTCTTGAAAGTAGTCTCTATCTGTGCTAACACTGCTATATTTTCATTGCCATATTAACTTTTTGAGACAGAAAAGTTGGAGTAATCACAGCTAGTTGGTCCAGTCATTTGTTTTTTTGGTGAGTTGTTTTTATTGGTTTGTTTGGATTTTTTTCTGGAGTAATATTCTATGTGCCAAGAATTCAGAGGCTGTTTTACGCTGTGCTTGACTTTGCTCCTGATACACTTTCATCTGTCCTCAGCAGCACACTTTGTTAGAAGATCTGCACCAGCTTTTCCGTTGTTAAACCATCTTCAGCAAGGCCAAATTATCTCTCTTTGTTAGAGTATACTGACTTTCTGACTTGCTTTGTTCTTTTATGTAAGGGGAGGTTCTTCATATATCCTGTCCTGATGAATGTATAAAAATGCAGGATTTGTTTTTACTGTGGGAAATCCTGTATTTCAGCATTGGTGAATCAACCTTACCTTACTTTTATCACCTTAATTTATTATTTTTTGGTACTGTGGATCCAAAACTGGATTGCCTGTTCCAGATGCGTATTCCTGGATTGATGGCTAAAGGCAAATAATAGGTTATTAGTGGAATCTTAGCCTGTAGATGTACTCCAGGATATTCTTGACACTCCTTGCTGCCTTGCTCATGTTTAGCCCACTTTCTGTCCAGACCCCCAGCTCCTTTTGGACAATGCTCTCAGGTACGTGGTGTGATTCTGTGCGTTGACCTTTGCAGAGCCAGGAGTAGGACTCAGTGATCTTTGTGGATACCTTCCAACTCAGGATAATCTGTCATTCTGTAATGGTATTTGTAGTCCTTCACTGGACCGTCTCCACTAGTTCCTTGTCTTAGCTTTCTGCACTTCAGGCAGTGTGGCTGGAGCACTTGCTGGTGAAGACTGAGGCAAAAATGTCATAGAGTATGTCTGCCTTCTCCATGTCCTGGGTGGCCAAATCTCCCATTTCCGTCTGAAGGCCCACATTTTCCTTAGTCTTCCTTTTATCACTGAAATACCTATAGAAGCTTTCCTTGTTGCCCTTGACATCCCTGACCAGGTTTAATTCTATCAGAGGTTTTGCTTTTGTAACCTAATTCATGGCTACTCGGACAATCCCTCTGTATTCTTCCCAAGCTACCTGTCCTTGCTTCCACCCTCTGTAGGGAACCCTTTTGTTTGTGTCTGTCAAGGAGTTCCTTGTTCATCTATGCAGGCTTCCTAGCATTTCTGCCTGACTTTCTTGTGGTTGGGATGCGTTGCTTCTGAGCGTGGAGGAGGTCATCCTTGAATATTAGTGAGTTTTCTTGGGCCTTTCTTCCGTCCAGGACTTTATCCCATGGTACTTCACCAAGCAGATCCTTAAAGACACCGAAGTCTGCTCTCCTCAAGACCATGGTTTGTGGTTTTTCTTAGCTCCTTAGTGGTTGGAGTGATGTCTCGAATGCTGCATTTCTAGACAAGCAGAAGTTTCCTGGTAGCAAAATATTACTCATGTGCATATAATCTCTTACAAGCAAAGTTTTTACCATTCCAGCCACCCATACTAATCATAAATATTGTTTTCATATTTTTGGCTCTGTACCTTTCTTACATTTTACATCAATTATTTCTCTAGGTATTGCCAGGCATCTGAAGTGGTTGACCAAGACCTAGGGACTTGGAACAGTGGTAAGTAAATGAAATTCAGATTATATTATCTGTATTTTCACATACTGGCTGACTCTGAAGTTTGACTGCTGCTTAAAGGATGGAAGATGTGCAGTAGGTTATGGCTTTTGAATGTTTTCTTCTGAGCATCAAGTTCCTTTTCAGAGCATTCACAGATTTTAAGAAGAAGAACAGGATGTAGTCTCAGTGATTGCTTTTGATAAGTGAAGCTTCCTCCTCATACCACCCTGATTTAGAAAAAACTTAAAATTTTATTTCAGATACATCAGTTCAGTCTATACTTGTTGAAGTGGTAACATGACCCATTATGTTAAAAACTTTGTAAAATTAGATAATTTACTTGATTCCCTATGCTCATTGCTGATTTTTTTGCATCTTATGTGCTAATTATGTGCCATTTTGACTAGAGAAGAATTCAGGAAGGCTCTAAGGAAGAACTTTGAAAATTTCAAATACTTTAAAAAGTGAGTTTTATAATGCGTTTTATAAATATATTGTTTGTGCTTCCTTATCTGTAGGTATAGGCTGGCAAGGAGAGCCTTACACAGGCAGAGATAAACTCATCAACTCTTAATTGTATTCAATAATCATTGAACACAATAGAATAATAGAATCATTAAGGTAGGAAAAGATCATTGAGTCCAACCTTTGACTGAACACCATCATGTCAACTAAACCATGGCACCAAGTGCATGTCCAGTCAATTCTTTAACACTTCCAGGAGTGGTGACTCCACCACCTCCCTGGGCAGGCTGTTCCAATGCTTAACCACCCTTTCAATGAAAAAATTCTTCTTGATATCCAACCTGAACCTCCCCTGGTGCAGTTTGAGGCCATTTCCTCTTGTCCTGTCACTAGTTGCCTGGGAGAAGAGGCTGATAGAAGAGGAGTATAATAATACTTTCAAAAAGCAACTGCATTTTCTTGCCGAGAGATAGGTATTTGGAATAATGTAATATTTCTGATTCTCTAGTTTCCATAGTAGAGCCAGTTTATGGGAAAAATTTCATATTTATGTTAAGGGATCTCATTTGATTTCAGTGCTGTTAGCAGCAAATATAACTTTTTAGCACCTATATATTTGGTTCTATGTGGTGTTGACTTTGGTGGCCAATACAGTGAGTAACGCTTGCCTTGTTTTTATTATTTTTTGCTTTAGTGACCTCTGAAAATCATGCTTGTTCTTCATTTCTAAAAATACCATTAGTTAAAACACTGAAGGAATTTATCAGTTTAGAATATTTGCACTCGTGTAGTTCTATATTTACTATGTCCTTTCTATTTGTGCTTGTATTTTGCCAGGAAAAGCAAATAAGTGAATTTGTCAGTTAGTTTTGGATAATTCCTTTTTGCCTACTGTTTATCTACTCCTGTGTCCCTATCCTCCACTGCCTGACAATTGTCAGGACTAAAATGCTGTATTCATAGTATCATTAGTGCACAAGTGGAATGCAAGCATCATAGACAGTTTATATATCTTTATTCAACAAAAAATATAGGTATTCTTTCTTTCAAGTTCGATGCTGTTTAAGAAGTGGATAGTTAAGAATTAAAGAGACTTATTATTAATTTAAAATTGATTCTTGGCTAGTGTTACAGATAATGTAACTTATTTTACAACAGTGTGCCTCAGACCAGTTAAAAGGGGAGTCCTGTAGCGCTTAGCACTATAACAGAAACACTAGCACACGCATTAAGGTGGAGGTAACTTAAACAACAACTTGAGCAACTGTCAGCAGCAGCAGGTGGGAAGCCTGAGAGTTAAGTGTAGTGGTGATTGGAAAAATTGCACAGTTAATAAGATTAGTTCTATGCAGATCTAATATGTTGAAAAGAAAACTGAAATTATAACTTTTTCTTCATAACAAAATATGTAAATAATATAATTTCTCTCCAGATGTGCTAATGAGCACAACAAAGGCTAGTTATCTGGGTTTTCTTCAAAGGCTTTGCATAATTTATCTCGGGGGAACATTTGAAAATATCTAAGCAGTTCATTCCCTAAAAATCTTCAGTTGCAGTTAAATAATTCATAAAATTGTAACTGGAAGCAAGAAATAAACAACAAAGATAAAAATGTAAAGGGTCAAATTACCTTCTGATTATCTCTTAAAGAAATCTTTGGTATTTTGATTACTCTTTCCTCTTCTTTCTCTCCCCAGTGTTTCAATATAATTATAAGAACATTCACATACTTGCTGACTTGTATATGTGCTCCTTTTGTTGCAATATGAGTAGGGTAGAAGCTTATAATGCCTTTTCTAATAAACATGAAAGATAGACTCTGATATTGTATTATGCAAAAAAGGACCAGTTATTTTAGTTTTCCATATAATGCTACTAACCAAAAATTGATTGCTTAGTACAGGGGGGTTAAGATCCTTCCAGGACCTGCATATCACAGCTGATGGTGATCCATGCTCCAGTGAGATGCCTCAGCAAAGGCAGATGCTGGTGTTGAACATCTCTGGAAAAGAGCAGGTGCTTGGGGAATGTTAGCCTCAAGGCTCTGATGGGTGGCTGAGAGACTTGTGTCTGAAGATTTGGTGGTTTGATCCCCTCTTTTAATAGCTGAAGTTTCATCAGCCACTTGCTAGTAATTTTGACAGAGGTTGATACAAAGGTGCAGTTCTTGGACTATGGACTTTTGTCATCCCAACTGCTCTGAAACCTGCCAGATGATGTGACAAATATTCTTCTGTCTTACATGAAAATAAATGTTTTGACTAGCTAGTCCTGTTCCTCTTCAAGTAATAATATTTACCTAACTTTCCTGGATAGGGTCCAGGTTGGCAGTGGAGGATGAGGGTTATGCTTCTGGCCTTGGGAACAACTGGGAGAAACCAAGGTGAGGGAAAGCAAGTAGAGTGCCTTCCTGAAGGTCTTTCCTTGTGTTGTTTTAACACTCAGAGGAAGGAATGCTGTGGTTTGCTCAAGGTTTTCTAGCTGTCATCTTATCTATGTGCTGAACTTTGCCTCATGATGGTAACTTCGTGACTTCAGGAATTATGTAGGGACAGGGAGTAGATTTTTGGGTATTTTGTTTGGTTTGGAAAAATGGCTTTGTTTATATCAGTACAGTTTTGTACTATGTACATAATGGCACAGAGACAGGGTGAGTTTTTACCTCTGGAATTGAAAAACAGCATGTGGCCAGTATTCCTGGTTTTACTTGGTTTTGTTAACAGCCAGAATAAATAGGAAGTTATATACTTGTACTGCTTTTCCTCTTTGAACAATCTCCTTTCTGTGTCTGTGCTTTGCCTTTTCATTTTTATTTTTCATATAATTTATGTTTGTCTACACCTTCTTTAGAGAACTTCAAGGTGATTTTAAAGTACTAATCACAAATTGCACCCCACTTGTATTTAATAGAAACAATAGCAGTGGACTTTTTTTCCAATATCTTTCCTTTTGTCTGTCATTAGAGGGAAGAAAGGACAAGTTACTGAGTCTGAAAAATATTGTGGTTTCAAGTTCTTTCCTTGGGAAGGCATTGGAAACTTTCAGATGCTGTAAACCACATTGAACTGATAATTTGCTTATGGAGTAGAAAAAACAATAGTTAATTTTAATGTTATTATTTCTGGAACTTAGTGTAGTTCCTGATGTGGAGATGCTGTGCACAAGCAGTGACTAAATAGCAGTAGCTGCTACAGGAAGAAGTGTGGTGTAGCAGATAGAACTGCCTGTCCTGACTCCTGCTTTCGACTTCTGCCTCTGTTGTTAACCTGCTATTAGGAAAGTAAATTAATTTCTTACTCTTTTTGTCGGCTTAGATTGCAAGGCTTTTTGTCCAGGTAACTGCATCTCAGTTCATGTCACTGTGCTTTGGTGCCTGTGGATTCCTTCAGTTGCTATAGTATTACTACTGTTACTTGCAGGGTTTCTCATTAGCTCTCAGGAGCTCACCATGTGACATGGAATTCTGAAAACACTTGAATATTTGTTTAACAAGAAAAAAGCCAGTAATACTTTTCAGAGCCTTGTTTAATAGTGCATCTGGTCTTGCACAGCTGCAGGCTGATGCCAAAAGGGACGGTATCACTTCAGCTTGTTCTTTCCCTCTTGCATCAGCCCCCAGTCCCAAGGTGAGTTTGAGGTAAGCAGGTGATTCAGAAAAGAAAAAAAACTAACTGCCTGGGAAGGAAACTAAACCAGATAACTATGCTGGCTTGGCTTGTCCTGTGGCTGAGAAATTACTAAATGTAACAAAAGGGACAAAGATGTAATAAGCAGCTGGAATTAGGTGGGGAGAGTAGTACTGTTTCTTTCAGCAACAGGTAATAAATATACCAGATGAGACATAGCATGGAAACCAAGGCTTATTAAGAGCTGCATTTTACACCCAGATTTTGAAACAGCAGAAGAATGTGCTGTGTACTGAAAGTATTTTTTTCTAATACAGCTTTTTAATTGTTTTTTTTCCCCTCAAGTAACAGTCATCTTTGTGATCCACAGTATAATTTCAAGGCACATTTCTGATGCCTAAATATAACTTTTATTTAATTTTAATTGAAATTGAAATCCACTTAATCTTGCAAATTTAGCTGAGAGAAGTAGCTCTTGATGTGATACTTTCTACAGACCTTGTATTCATAATTTCCCCTTTAAACTGTCAAGAGACTTGATTTATCTTGAAAATGACTTTTTGAAGGGCATTTTTCAACCACTGTCCTTTCTCTTAACAATGTATACAACAGATTATATTGGTTTTTTGATCTTACTTTGTTTGTGAGCCTCATGTAATAAGACCTTGTGTTGAAGGACCTGTGTTTTCTTTCCCACTCACCATAGGTTTCCATGAAATAAAGAGGGGTGAGCAGGACCAAGGATGAGAGAAGCAAAATGTTAAAATGATTTTGGAAAATGTAGTGACTAACTTTAATTGAAGAGCCTTTACACACAGCTCAGACATGCTTATGAGGACATGAATATTTCTTGTCAATTGCATTCATGGATGAGGTTGCCCAGTAAATTCAGCCAAGCAAGAGCAAGAA